TTTAACACTTTGTAGGTATGTGCTACATCATAGGTGCTGCTTATATTAAATAGTCTGCAAGCTTATTTAGAGAACTTCTATTTCAGGCATTTTTATGTTTGTTAATGTTGGTTTTTTTTTTCCACTCTTACAGTCATTACAAATGGAATATCTTATTGTTGCAGACGGTTTTGCCAATAGATGACTCTGAATCATGTGCCAGAAAGACATTTTAAATGACCTAGATTAAACTCACAGAGGACTGGGCATCCCAGATATATTCTTAAACACAGAACATTTCCAGGAATGAGTATTTCTGACACTCCTTATTAAAAACATGTACAAACAGTTATCTGATACCCAGGCAATCAGAGAAGCTGTGTGGAGACAGATTGCACACAGTGCCTGGAGTCTTGAGAACTAGGCTGAGTTAGGGACGCAGTGCATTATCGTGGTAAGATGTCCTATCCTATGTCTCAGTTTACCCATCTGTAAAAAGTGGGGTGTGGTGCTTTGTATAGCATCTGGTCTGGGAAAGATGTTCTGAATGTCTAGTGAGAAATGCCAAGTAGGGACATACATAGTCCTTAAAGTAAAAAACTTCACAAATTGTAGAGCCTGAATATCTCAATGAACAAAATGCCTTCCTCCCAGCTCTCACAGGAAGCAAGTTAATTGGTAGGCCAATAACTATAATGAGGCAGAACCTGGGGTTTTGCATGTGTATAGTGAGATCCTCCCCTTGGGGCCAAACTCCTGTTCCATATTATGAAAGCAGTAAAAGGTCCCCTCAGCAGGTGCTGCATAAAGGCATTTCAGCTTTGCCTTTGCAGTGCTGGAATTGCCAAGCTATTGCTTTCCTGAGTCTCCAAATGAATTCCCCAACTCAATGTGGAACAGCTGTGTGATAGATACAGCCTTGAGAAAAGGGGTGGCAAAAGAACACAACAAATGTGATTCTGTGAAATGGGGATTTAATCAAATAGCACAGAGCTGCAAAACAACATCGGCATGTTTCTACTCAGCTTTCCTTTGGGTAAGGGAGACCCTCTCGGTACCGCAGTTCACAGGAGAGAGGTAGTGTGTGATTGTATGCTATTAAGGGCCATATTGTGTAGTGAGAGTGAGTAACACTGGCTGTGTTCATTAATGCAGGGAATAGCAGCATGGCTTACCTAGAATAATGCCTGAGAACTTTACATCCTGAGGAAGGATCTTCTATCTGCCCATGTGTTGCTACTGCCTCTGTAGGGTTAATGAAGGAGTGGTTTACCAAAGCTCCTAGGCTTTAGCCATTTGAGCCAGGAAGTGAATTAGAAACTGCCATGAGATGGGGCAAGTCTGAGAGGGTGGAAGTAATTCTTCTAGTAGAATTTAATTAGGACAGGGTAGCATTTCTCTTCCTTCGTAGATGATTGTGGAAATAGTTGCTTTCTTTGTTATTGAAGTCTTCTGAAACATAGTTTGCACAAGAAATGCTCTCTCGAGTAACAAGAGATTGTATTAAGGGCACAAATGGTGAGAGTTACTGTTTTGTACTTGTCCTTAAAAAGGGTATTTTTAGTGATGCTTTTATTTAATACTTTTTTGAAAGGAAGGTTGTGTGTCAAGTCTACCTGTGCAAGTTTCCAGAGTGCTTCTTAGAAGCTTTTTGGAAGTCTGTCTACCTTGTCTAATATTGACTATGCCTGTTTGATCTGAGTGATTGCTTAGTTACAAGTGTTATGTCTGAAATATAAAAGACAGGAAAAAAAAGTAAAATGAAAGAAGAGTTTGTAACAAACAGAATATAGCTAGCTAATTATTGTGGCAGGATAATGTCTTAGAAAAATCAACACCATTATGAAACTGCCATTTTTTCTTGTTTCCGTGTCACAAAATTTCCTTGAAATCTTTTAGTTTTGAGTGTGTGCACACTTTACAAAGTGATCAGAAGCTAAACAGCAGCATCTGTCAGAGAAGATAAATGACCTACCAGCAAATCATCTCAGTTAAAAGGAAGACAAAAATTTATGAAGTAGGGGAATGAGTTTTAAATTAGCCATTTCACTTAACTTTGCCCTAATGAAGGGCTAATCTTTGGACCCCTGCAAAACAAATGAGAATATCTAGTTAGATCCAGCGGAAACCAGTCATTGAAAAGGCTTTTTCCTTATGAAGCTAATTGGAAGCAAAATAATTCCTTTGATAGCTGTCTTCATTTAACAGTATCGTTCCCTTTTCCTGATTTATATACAGTAAACTAAGGACTCTGTTAATTACAAACACATTTGCCTTTTTTGCACATTGACAACTAAGTAGCTTGGGTGAACCTGGCTAGAGCAGTCACAAATAAGGTGCAAAGATCTGTGGTGCAAGTTCTCTGAGGGTGCCTGAGAAGAGCCTCATCCAGAAGGCAGTAAGGTAGCCTGCATTTAAAAAGCATTTTCTGTATGTTGAGGCAGCAATCTGTGCACAGTTAAGTGGAGCGTGAGCCACTGTGGCATTTAGCTAAATTTATACACGTTGAAATCTGACCTGGTATTTCAAGATAATTTTATTCATTAAATTAGCTCGTTCTATTTTTATATGGCAAGATAAATATTGTAATGGCAACATAAATATTTATTTACCTAAAATCTGAAGAAATGATAGAAAAACGTTGGACACTTGATTGCTGTAGAAGCAGGATTGTGCCTTTAAGGCAGAGGGAAGGAATGTGTCAGTCATGGCCTGTCTGAAACAGGGACTTATCTCGATTACAGTATTAGCTTGGTAGTAGAATATGATCTCATCACTGTGAAAGATTACATGAAATATCAACTTGGCTGGCCTTGAAACAACTCTATTCTCAGTTGCGTTTTCGATTGCTGCAGCTGACATAGGGTTCTGTAATTTGAAGAGATGACCATAAAGATGTTTTGCAGAATTTGGCCTATGTATTCAAGTAACAAAAATTCAGGAATGGATAAAAGCATGACTGCCTCTGATGTTTTTTCTTTGACTTTTTTTTTCTTAGAGTATTTCAAGAGTAAGCAAAACTTGAACACCCTTAACATCAAAATACTTAAAATTTGTATCAAACCTGGGTAGATACCTGTCTGATGGAAAGTCACTGCAGTCAATGGAGGCTAAAATGTGAATTATTGTTCACCTTCAAGGAATGATATGCTTGAAGAGACTAAGTGCATAAGACAGTTTTGAGCAGTAGGTGTCCTGGGTACTGTAATGAGAGGGGTACGGGAATGCTGTTTGTGGAGCACATGATATGCTGTGCTCGTGCCTTCAGCTGTATGCTTGCTATGAGGCCTTGAAGCCAAATGGCATCTTTCTTGAGCAAATTATTATTAGATATTATTTCTTCTTGGGTAGTTTTGGGGAATCAGTTTTGCTTTGAATTTGTATCCTTCTATTTCCACACTGAAGATGGTATATTGAAAGGAACGAATACAACTTTCTACCTTGAAATTAAGCTACATACTAATTTTTTACTCAGGACATTAAGGGCTTCTCTGGGCACTGGCATTGTCAGTCTGACAGATAAGAACCTACCTGGAGAGGAAATTTCTGCTGAGTACTCAGCTGACAAATCTGATATATCTGGGGTAAGTTCAGAAGTTCTATTAATTTGCTGTTTATTTTATGTTAGCATCTAAAATGCTTCCTAAAATAAGAAAAAAATATTTCTTTGCTAAATCACATGGATGCCTGGGTTGTGTATGTATTTACTTGTTTTCCTGAGCTTAAATTCAAAGACCACACCAATGCCCTGGCCCAAAAGTAAGGATGGGAAAAGAGACAAAAATCCATAATGGCCGGGTTTTTTTCATGCACTGATTCCAGCCACAATCTCTGGCCAAGCTGTCTTATTTGAAGAAAGACATTTACACCCCTCAGCTCGTACGGAAGGAGGGTAGAGGAAGCTCCTAATACTCATTGTGCAATGTTTTTTCATTCGTCTCTCACTTTTTCTTCCCTCAAATTCCACTGTCTACCCATTTATCTCCTCATTTTTCTGTAAATTCAGTTTTCTTTCCCCAATCCCATTTCCTGCTCAGTGCTTTCATGTCCTCCGTGCTCCTGTGTTTTCTGCTGTGCTTACAAACCCCCCCCACCCCACCTTTACAAAGGAAAACTCTTGCATGTGCTGTTCTTCCCTCGCACCATCTCCTTTCAGATTTCTGCCAAAGTTTGGACTTGCGCCCTGGCTGGGTATAGGGCAGGTTCAATAGCTACTGCACATTCCTTTGAACTACCTACCTCATCTAAAAACTTTCAGGCTAGAAAGCCTTTCAGCTATTCACTCTGTGCCTATGCAGCATAATCCGTTCGGCTCCTGAACATTTTACTTTATGGCCAAATTGAGAGCCAAACACTTTTTTTTTTTTTTTTTTTTTTTGCTGTTTTCAGTTTGATTTCTCCAGTGGGGTAGTAGGTCTCATGCACTAAATGAAGCAAATGTCAAGTGATGGAGGCCATTTGGACATGATTGGATCCATGGTCTGAACCCTGGGTCTGTACAAATGAAACATTGGTAGACCTGCCAAGCCTAAGAAAAACTATTTTTTTTCTAGGGAGGGATCTCAGGAATTGCGTTCAGAACATAGGCACTATTCTGATGACTGTTGCAGCAGATTTTGTGACATTTTGTGTATCTTTTCAAAAGCCCAGAAGAATTACTTTAAGCAGGAAGGGGTTCTTGGTCTTAGTGTAGCAGAGGTCAGGTTCTACTGCATTTGTGTATTTTTCTCTGGTTCTTTACCTGAAGACTCAGTGGCAGATGGGAGTAGTATCTGAAGGCTGAACATGGAAGACAGCCTTTCTCTGCTACAAAGAGCAAAACTTCTGCTTAAAAGGAATGAGTTGTGGGCTTTCTATTTTATAGACAGTTAATTGAGCTAAAAGATAGTGCTATAATCTTAACTACTCTTTCTTGCAACATGTGTATAAGACAAAAGCTCTGGTTAGTATAACTGAAGTTATATAAAATGAATGAGTGATGAAACAAGGTAGCACTTAGTCCTGTATCTCTGTATTTCTAGATAATCCTGGAAAAGAGTGCAAAAAGATGAACCATGAAGAGAAGGAAGTTAATCCAGAGCTTTCCAATAGAGTGCAGTGGGTGTTGGCTCAGAACCATGGTTAATTTGACTTGTCTTTTAATGTTCTGAAATTTCTGTCTGTGTCATTCTCAGTGAAGATGCTTAGAAATATTGGGAGCCTAACCTGAAATGGTGAGATGTTTTCTCTGCTGCAAAGCTGTAGTGGCTATTGTGAGGTGTAGTGACAGTGTGAGTTTGTGATGAAGCACTCCCCTGCAGCTCTGCAAAGTCCAACAGCTTTTTGGGATGAGATAGAGTTGTGCATTAAGGATCTCAAATTCTTTCCAAGGAATCTCACAGATAGTTGAGAGTGAAGATGTTGAGTCATTTTTTGGGAGAGGATTTTGGTTTTATATCCTCAATGCAGGGTATTACCATAATAGTAATCATTATTATGGATAGAAACAAATGCATTCGGGCTGCAGTTTTGACCCGATCTGTTGTTCTGCTTTTTTTTTGCATTAGTATTTGCTAGTGTTAATTGTGTTGTGGTTTTTTTCTTTTTCTGTCAGTAATGGTATTTCTAATTACGCCAAATAGGAACAGTAGGAAAGAGCATTACCCAACTCTAAAAGCAACTAAGTTTTCCAAATTTTTAAATTATTAAGGAAGGTGGTTTTTTTTTTTTCCCCCATATAATCTGATATTAATGTAACTGCAAGATCATTTGTTTGTTCTTTACTGTACCTTCATTGATCTTAGAGGGTTCAATCTAGATGAAAACATACATATATTTCCTTGTGTTACTTCTTCTATAATTTAAATTCTGTTAAGCTTTAGAAAAAGAAGTTAGCTCTTGAGAGACTGAGGACAAAACTATATTTGAATAAATGGTTAACATGCATTAAGCTCTTGATTTTCTTCCTGTGCTGTCTTCTGTGAGATCTCTTCTACATTCTCCTCTTGCCCAGCTTCTGTGTAATAGGATGTTGTCCTCTCATTCCTATCTTAATGCTAGTCCTCTTTCTCATTGTACTTTCCTAAACCATCACTTCTCTTGTCCAGAAACCTTTAAATTCACATCTTTGACCACACTCAGAATCAGTAAGGTGCAGTAAGTTAAAATGTCAGCTTCTCCCTCTGTCTTCCTTGTCTGTCTTCTCTGTCTTGGTTTTCACATTGCCAACATACTAGGGCAAGCATCATCTACCTGGTATGTATTACACAGTGTCTCATTGCTTTGCATGTGGTAACTTCTATCTGCATATTGGTGTATTCTTAGCAAAAAGTACTTCTATTTGTCGAGCAAGATGTGTGGAAGGATGCAGTGTCTAGATCTGGTTTGAACTAGGATAATGTTTTAAGGTTCAGGGCTGAAATGGAGCCATATTTGAGACAGGACAGAGGTATGCTCACCAACAGGATTTTGGCCCTGAAATGGGGGTTTTTGCCACCTGCTCCATCACTTGAGATTAATGTAACTATTCCAGGTTGCTATCACCAGATACTTTGTGCCTTTTACATTCTCCCTTTGTTAACCAAAATGTTATGACATGTTCCCATCATGCCTTCACAGATTTCTTCCTTTCTTTTACTGTTTATTTCCTCCTAGATGACTTGTCACCAAAATGAGTTACACATGCAAAGAAGACATTGAACCAGAAATGTCTCCACACTGCTGTCAAATCTCTTTGGTAAAGCTGAAGAGCCCCTGGACTTAATTTTTCACTTGCTCTGATTTTACACTGATGTAATTTAATTGATTTCAGTGGATTACTTTGGTTAGCTTAGTGTCAGGCTGAGAGGCTATGGCAAATACTTGTGTGTCACTTAACATCAAAGCTTTACCTCTCTGTAAAGACATACTTCCTCATCCCTGGCAGAGAGGAAGTGTAACCCCCTCATAATCTCTCCTATTCCCTAAACCTAAAAGTGCAAAAGGATTTTGATCAGACACTGTCAAAGTACAAGGCCTGTCTCAGAAGGAAAAAAAGTTGCTGAGGCCAGAGCATTCATCTAACCTTTTCTTTATGATCTTGGGAAGAGTGGGGGAGGGTCTGGCCTTTTTTGGCCCTCTGCTTGTGTTGTGAGTTCGGCTGTGCATCCTTTGTGGACAGAGGGGGGATTGCTTTGCAGCATCTCCCTCTGCTTGCAAAGAGCTGCTACTGCTGTCTCAGCCATGGGACAAGGAGTTGATCTTCTCCAAGATCCTATACATGCTGGACAGCTAAGAAGAGGAAAAGAAGAGGCAGGAGCCTCTGGGATTAGCAGACTGATAAGTCTAGGAGTGGGACCAAGGGCTGAAAACTCTCTTGCGTGATGCTTTGAAATAAACAAAATTATGTGAGAATTTACAGTATTCATTGTGAAGAGTTTAGAAGCAGTAAGTTACCTGAAAACTGTGTCTAGTGTATAAAGACCTGTGTGGTAATCTACAGTGGAATCAGGGAATAAAATGTATGTAGCAAAAACTGTGAGGATTGAGGCATAAATTCACCTTTCTTGGAACATAAGTACAGAACCTTTTGTTAAAGAGTTAGCAATAAAAGAATCTTGTGTCTGGGCAAAGCATCAGCAATCTGCATACAATCACACACAGATTTGGAAGATCCATTACTCTGTGGACAGAAGCAGCTTTGGTAGGGGTCAGGACTTGCCCTCATTGCTTGTTTCAGGAATATAAATACTAATTTTATGCTAAGGATGGCTTAGCTACCCCTACTTGAGATGATGGCTGTTACTCATTCTGTGCTGCAAATAAATCCAGGTCTCAGCTGAAGTGTAGACAAATTCTTCTTTGCACTGGAGAACGTTTAGGGGGTTTTGTGCTGTTTTTACAGACCCACCAAACTATGGGGCCTTATGCCTCTTTCATGTAGGTCAAGCCTATGCTGTAGTTTTTTGTTTCTTCAAGGGGGTTTGAATTTTGTTTATATAAATCCTGAAGCATCTAGTTTTTCATTCATGGATTAGGAATGTCCAGTATGTGTTAAACTGGTTTAAGGGAATTTGCTTTTCTTGAGCTGCTGAGACTGTGTACATTTTTCATTAGCTTTTTTCTTTTTTTCTAGTTTCCCTTTTCTTGATCTCTGCTAATCAAATCTGAACTTAATGCTTGATTCAAATTCTAAACTCTGATGTTCAAAGTAGATTTGTGATTGGTCTGAAATAATTCATTCTGTCCATGCTGAACCCACCTAATCTACTTGCAAGTTGTATTCTTGGCCTTTGTAGTGCAATGTTTCTGTCACCCAAGAAAGAAAAATAGATCTTCACATGCTTGGCTGATTCGTGTAAGCCACTGTTTAGTGAATAGGCCCTTTGGTGTGTCTTTTTTTTTTTCTATGTATTTGATAAACTTGAGACATAGTTACTTTGAAGACTGGGCATTATCTACCTGCTCTGGGAACAGTTCCATGAAAACTGAGATTGAATCTCTGGGCTGCTGACAAGCTAATTCTGGACATTATTGCAAGCCTCAAGGTCAGTGTGCCTTTCAACAGCAGAATAGAATTTCTGGTGCATTCATCTTTCATTTTAAATAGGTCTCTCTAAACCTGAGCTATGCTTTCCTAGTGGTATGGGAATTCAAGCTTATTACGTTGTAGAGGATTTTAAAGATACTGAGATAGGAAAGGAAGAAGACCTTCAAACTCTGGAGAAGTTACTAAGTAACAGCAGGAGTGTTCCTTCTAATGAACCTCCATCCAACTTCTTGGCTGAAAAAAGCACCCTACTGTGTTATCATAATTGGTGTGTGAAGAACTGGTGAACACATGTTTCCTGGGAGACAAATAGAAAGGGTTTCTTGAGCGATTTCTGTTGTTGTTATTTACTGTTGTTTATTGTTGTTGTTATAGTACTGCAATAAGCCCATTTATTGGCAGTTTCAGTGGGAAAGTGGAAGAGTTGAAAGGACAGGGATGCTGAGCTCAGTTGCTCAGTTTCTCCAGAGCAACCACAGGGTGTTGATCTGAGGCTGAAAGGGCCAGTGCGAATCATGGGTCCCACTCTTCTTGGACTGTTTGGGTGAGCATTTCCCTCCCAAATTCACTCCTAGCAGTTATTTGCAGTTAGGGAATTGTACTGCTGTCAGAAAGGACTATTGGGTGGCTTCTGCTGTACTGTCAAAATATGCTTAGCTCTTTTATTATTGCCCATTAGTCTTGATCATGTATTTAGGCAGAGTAGAACCCTGGTGTGTGTTGACAGTGTATAGAAATCTCAGTTTATGAGCAGAAAAACTGGCAAAGATGATACTTTGCAACAAATAATAAATCTTAATTCACTCTCACTTCCATCGTCAAACACAGTTAATGCTGTTATCTGCAGACTGTCATCTGTTGTTCATACTTTGTTTTCTTTTCACAGAGTCATAGAATCACAGAATGGTTTGGGTTGGAAGGGACCTTTAAAGGTCATCTGGTCCCACCCCCCTGCAATAAGCAGGGACATCTTCAATGAGATCAGGTTGCTCAAAGCCCTGTCCTCTCTGGGCAACCTGTTCCAGTGTTTCACCACCCTCATCGTAAATGATTTCTTCCTTATATCTAGTCTAGATCTACCCTCTTTTAGTTTAAAACAATTACCCTTGTCCTATTGCAACAGGCCCTGTTAAAAAGTTTGTCCCCATCATTCTTACAGGCCCCCTTTAAGCACTGGGAGGTCGCTCTAAGGTCTCCCTGGAGCCTTCTCTTCTCCAGATGAACACCCCCAACTCTCTCAGCCTGTCCTCACAGGGGAGGTGCTCCAGCCCCTGATCATCTTTGTGGCCTCCTCTGGACCTGCTCAAGCAGGTCCATGTCCTTCAGATGTTGGTATTCCCAGAGCTGGACACAGCACTGCAGGGGGGTGTCTCATGAGAGCAGAGCAGAGGGGGAGAATCCCCTCCCTCAACCTGATGGCTGCACTTCTTTTGATTTAGCCCAGGACACAATTGGCTTTCTGGGATGTGAGTGCACATTGCTGGGTCATGTCCAGCTTTTCATCTGCTAATACCCCCAAGTCCTTCTCTGCAGGGCTGCTTTCAATCCACTCCTCATCCAGCCTGGATTTGTGCTTGGGATTGCCCCGACCCATGTGCAGGACCTTGCACTTTTTAGTACTGAGCTTCTGCAATGAAGCTGAAATAGATGTTGGACTTGCCAGGGCTTTCAAATCTGTACCGTGGCCATCTCCTTGTGGAGCATCAGGAGGAGCTGGGCCAGCACCCCCTACCCTATGAGATCAGTGTCCCTCAACAGGTGTTGGGTGTGCCAGAAAAGAGGATCCACCTCTTCCTTGGGAAGTCAGCCAGGAGGCCTGCTGCTTTCAAGCTACAATCTCCTGTGTATCTCTGACCAGTGAATAAACTCCAGGGTATAAATACATTCACAGCTAGTTGGAACCAAACTGAATTGTGAATAAAAAGACCAGCAGTTAGAAACGTTTCCGTTTTCAAGCAATAGGGTAGCAAACATAAACACAGTAACATGTAAAGCAGGAGATTTAGAAGTACAGAGTCCCTGATGCATGCATTTCCAGGCAACAGAGAAACAGTGTGTTAGGGGAGAGAGAGATGATGTATCCTGCAAACCAACAGATACGTGTTCTGATATACTCACTATACATGAATATGCGCAAATTGTTATCTCTCTGCTTCTCCAGGAAATAGGGAAAAATTGTAATGAGATGAAATATGCCATGTCAATTATTTTTCTTTCTTATGAAAGATCCTTCCTCTTTATCCACACCCTGCAATGTGTGCCATGGTTTGCAGGCTGTTTTTGAGCCCTCTGACTTGCTGACCTTCTTCGGGCAAATAAAGGTCTGATGTAACTTCCTGTGAGTCCCATCTGATATTACTTCCTTTTGATCCCATCAAAGCTGTTTTATGATGACTGGAGGGACTGCTGCAGAGCTCCCAAAGTTTAGTTTCTTGTCTGACCACTATAGACCCCAACTGTCTGGAAAATCAAAACCACCTCTGAAGAGTCTCTTTGTCTATTGGAAAGAAGCAGAGAACAGCAGCTATATTTAAACTTTAATAAAGGTCTTTTGAGCAGTATTAGGTGTTTATGGAATGTCTGTAATAGTACATAGTATTAAAGTACATGTTAACATTATTGCTACTGCATTCAAGCAAGGGGGAAGATACTGCAATTTTTAATGAAGTGCTTATGGCTTTGATTGCAGGAGTGTCCAGCTCCTTGTGCTATGGGACTGCAGAGTTCTTGAAGAGGTGGTGCTTAGCTTGGGTCTGTGTGTTCAGGCTGATTTGGCTGAGTCTGAGATTACTGACTGCTGAAATCTTGCCTTCGATCTTGCAAGATTTGAGTAGAAGATGGCAGAAATCTTGCAGGAGTAACTTTCTCATTCACAGATGGTCCTGTCATCTTGGGATGAGATTTATTAAGACAAGACTCTGGTTTGGCCATGCTGAAATCTGGGTTTCTTCTGAATAGAGGTCTGGATAAATCAAAGAAGCATGATACTTGGTTTTGAGAATTTTAATCCAGATTGTTCATCCCCCAGTTTTCAAGAGGTTCAGATCTGAGGGTTGGATTTCAGGAAATTTTCGTTTAGGGAGTGACTGTTTAAAGAGTTGCAAGAGCCCTAGAAACCAGAGTTCTTTGTTCATAAGCCATGCACAGTGCAGACAACAGCAATAGCAGTAATCTGTTTCCCCATGAACTGCAAGCAAGCTTAACCCTGAGCTGGAAAGACCATACTCTGGAGAGGTGAAAGGAAATTCAATATTTGAGCTAAGTGTTTTCTGACTTCCTTGGAAGAAAGACTGCCAACTGTACAAAGTTATGATGATGATGTGACAAGGACCTGTCGTCCACCGAGGCCTCCATGAGCCTATGATGTTCATGGAGGACTGCAAAATAAGCAGTCCCACAGGGTGGGGGGCATGGAGATAGGTGGTAGGCCATCATTATTCTTATCCCCACTGTACTTGGATGCCTTGGAGAGCTTCAAGGTAAAACTTTTGATGTCTCTTTTACAATGATCTGTTTCTCTACATATTTTTAAATATCTGGTTCCAATGGTACTAAAAATTTTCTGTGACTGAGAACTTTTCCAATGCACAGTACTTGTTAAAATGTAACACGTGTCCAGACCAGACTTGAATAGATTGTACTATTCTTCAAATTATATTGAAAGTTTGGCAATTTTCTTGAGATTACAATGTAACTTTCCATTGAAGTCTAATTATAGACTTAAAAGCAAAACATCTTTGCTGTTTTATAAGAATAATAGTGACCTTTACCAAGTTCAATCTCTATTTTTGAAGTTGGATATTTAGGGATGTGTTGCTATTTGGCGCTTTTTTTTTTTTTCTTCTTTCTTTTCAACAATTGATTCTAAAAAACAGTGTCATCTTTTCCAATCTGTTTTCTGAGCAGTACCATTTCTGTTTGTCAGCCCAGGCTTCATCATAGTCTGATAAATGTTCCTGCTGGACTATTTATGTTAGCTTTCTATGTGCTGCATTTTTGTCTCCCTTGGTGTGGGTCTTGTCTTTTTATTCTTATGGTATGCCATTTGGCCCAGGCCCTCTGTTTGTCTTCCCCAGCTGGAGGTGAATGTTGCATAGGACAACTACTTATGAATCTTTCTTTTCTGTTTGAGGGAATTTTCCTACAGTAACAAGCAGATGGCATTTTCTGATAAAGGGAGGGTACTCTCTCTTATCTTGATAGCAATATTGTCTTCTCAGTCAGCCATTTGGAGTTTGAGAGTGGAAATGTTGCTTTTTATTTACATATTTCTAATAGTCTTAATGCAGCTACCTGTGATGTCAATCTGTTTAATTCAGTGAAATCTCTGGGTCCTTAACACTGCTAGAACATAGGTTACTAACCCAAAGCTGTGTTTGAAAACATTTATGTCAACTGTTTTGTGCCTGAGCTTATCCATTACACAAATTGATATAATACAATGCTACATAAATAACTGTGTCATCAGGCAGAAGAACATGCATTTGCAATATATTCTCAGTATTTGTGAGTCTTTTGTTGAAAGACTACAAGATTAAATGAAAGAATTATGGGGGAAATGGTGTGCATTGCTGCTTTTAGTCATTACTCTTTCACATATTTTCCTAATGACAGTGGTTTTAACTCAAAAGCTGACTGATTTAATTTGTTCAAGGAGATTATTCTCACTCTGTCATTTGTGGAATACAGGTGTGTTCCTGAAAAGTCTTAAATGTCTTTCTTGAGCAGCTTCACTACCTTCAGCTTCTTGCAGGACTGGGCCTAAAGTTTATTACTGATAACCCAGATATATTGCTTGTTGACCCTCTACTTGTAGGAGATTCTGTGGAAAAATGCTTTATTTGATTTTGAGGGCCTTCACAAAATTCTTTCTGTTCAAGTTTAGATTATTATTTTATGGTTTTCCTTTATAGGTGAGATTTACACTGTGTCCAATCAGTGCAAGAGCTCAAAGCCTTTAGTAAAAAATATTATTATGAGTTCTTAATACCGCAGATAAATTAAATCAAAAGCAGCTACTTGCTTCTTTCTGTAGCAAATACAAGAGAGATTTTTCAAGGAAACCTTGTGCATGTATTTTATATTTTTCTTTTATTCATGTTTTCTTTGTTTCTCTTTCTCTACCTTAAATGTGAGAGACCAGAAATTGAACTTTTGTTGATGCCACAGACTTCTTTTTGGATCTATATATTCCTAATGGTTCTTGGAAATTAATCAGAAGCAAAATCCTTGATCATAGTTTTAGGAACTCAATAATTAAAGACTTGTTCCTTCTGGCATAATATGGCTAGATATGTACTTGAACAGATAGATAGATCTTGAATCTATTGTACTGGTCAATAAAATACTTTCTTGTAATCTCATAAGGTTTCGCCATTATTGAATGGGAAAAAAAGTAGGTGGAAAAAAGCAGGTGAGAAGGATAGAAAAGGAGGGCTGTGATATTTTCTTCTTAAAGAATTTATAAATGTTGGTGCAAGTCTTACCCAGCACAAGGTATGTAAAGTATTAGAGATGTTCCTTCTTTATCAAAATTCATTTTTTGCTCTTACAAATAGCCTATATTTAGTTTTGAAATCCTCTGTTCTGAAGGTAGCTAAGACTTGGAGAAACTCAGTTTCACAAATCTCTATAGAGCTTGTTTTTACAAAGAAATATGCAGTCTGATTTTCAAAAACAAAGGGTGTCAGATCAATACTAAAATCATGTAACAATTTGAGACTTGGTCATCATTCCTTTTTTCTCATCTGTTTGTATGCATATGTGCTATTTTGTAAAAAAAGAACTAACACCATTAGAGATTGGTATCTTCCCTTTAGTTACAGGCTGTTATTATAATTTACTATATCGCAGTGGTACTGAGAGACCGTGATTCCCATGTGCTGGGCACTGGGCAGGCAGAGGATGAAGTTAGTTTCTTCAGTGAGGGCTTAGTATTGGTTTGCTTCAGCCCTCCCTGAGGAGGCGGTGGCTTTGGTGCTCAAGTCCCCCAGAGGGGTGCAGGTTTGTATCGTCACTGGTCTTAAAGCTGTCTGGTCTCATATTCTTCACTTGCCAGTAAACTAGCAAGTTTACCTAACTAAACGGGTTAGCCAGAAAACATGTTGAAGGTGACTTCTGAGGGCATGTGAATGAATATGGGGGTGTGTGTGTGTCTCTGCATGAATCCTAAAATCATGCTGAGAGAAAGTGTTCTATAGTATGTTCTCTTGTGTCCTCCAGTGGGTGTACTCATGTCTGATTTTGATTTGAGCAGGTGAAAGACTCCATAGTCCATTAGCAAGCATCTGACCTACTGTGTTCCCCATTTCCCTTTCCAGCTTTGACACTCTGTATAATTTATGTAGCAATTACACTTCAGTTGTAACTCAATTCCCAGTTTTGTTCCTTTAACAGAAATTAGTACTGAAAGGCATTGTAGTGATGGAGGGCTTGGAATAACCACCAAGCTATTTGTCTATTTAATATACATTTTTCAAAGATAGCATTTTAATGACTGAGAGAACACAATAGGGCTAACTGTACTTCAGAAGTTCAGCACTGGTTTTCAGACTCTTCAAATTTCAGGCTACACTGTCAACGCTGAGTGATACCGCTAAAGAACTGTGAAATGGAGAGCTACCCTGTGCCCCCCTCTCTATACCCCTTGCAAAATAAAAAGCAGGGGAGAAAAACAATGCTACTCTGACTTATTTATCTTTATCCAGTTCCTCTGTCAGTAAGGGGATGAAGCGAAAAATTCAGAACAAAGTAACTTAAAAAATCAAAGGATTAAAACCCCATGTATGTGATCCTGATGAATTGGATGATTCAGAAGATGTTAACCAGAGCAACAGCTGTAATGGAAGGAGAGCCTGTAACAAACAGGTTTTCTGATTTATCGGGGTAATCAAGCATAGAAGTGGGCAGGCACTGGGTGGTACAGAATACCAACATTTTTTTGTGCTGCCTGGGAGATATATTTGAACCTCTAGGGAAGAATTGCCCCCTCCCCCTTAATTCCCCTGAAGATTTTTTTTTTCTTTTCCTGAAAATGAAAGCATTTCCCTGAATCACATTTTAAATCTTCCTAAGTTTTAAATGGCTCCTGCTTGTTTATTACTGTTGGTAGTGTAACTACCCTCACAGAAGACTAATCCTGCTTGTTGAGGACTCCTTTCCTTAACGTAAGGGAGGTAATAAGTAAAGGGAAATGGACAAATAAAAATCTAGAGATTCTGGGTTGCTTGGAGAAATGCAACAAATGCCCTATGCTGTTTTCAGTGTGCTTTAGTTTTGTAGCAACAAACCATCTTTGGATTGAAGACTTTTAAGAAAAGAGCCCATCCTAAAATAACTCCTAACCCATCTCTAATGTTATTTTCCTTGCCTGCTAGTGCAACGTCCCAGTCTCTCTTTCATGTGTTAAATCAATGGGAACATGATGCAGATAAAGTTTAACATGACTTGACTGTGCTCATGTTCTTAGAGATAACAATCTATGTTCAGTGTGGGACTGAGGCTTTCATTGTTTTGTCCCTTATAATACACATTGCATTTTAACATGCTTTGCAAGTTTACACGCAGGGAGCATGCCCTGCAGTACAGGCTTTACTCCCTGAAATCTCTCAAGTGGCGTATTTGCTGAAAAATACCAAGTCTTGGTATTTATCAGTTTGGGAGTTTTCTCATGCAGAGCTGTTTTTCTTCTTGAGATCCCTGAAGAGAAGTCCTGTCTAGCATTGACCAGGCATTTTGAGCTTATAGATGTCTGGTTACATCATCTATTTGTTCCTCTTTATTACTTCTGGGTATTTTCTAAGGTTGGCCCAACAGCATGAAGTGCTTGTCTCAGTTTCCATTGAGGTGATCTGAGTCCCATTCACACAGCACCTTGCAAAGCTGCCTCTGTACAACACCGGCCATATGTAACCGACGTATGTAAATTCCAACCACTTGTGACTGAAAGGAAGAAAGTGTTCAATTATGTCTCTCTAAACTTTTATTTTCATCTGTATCACTATTTTTTTTCCTTAGTCTTATGATCTTTCTCAGTAGCACTTTTGTCTGTTGTATGTTTGTTAAGAAAATAATTCTTGGTTTGCTTGTTCCAAGAAAAAAGAACTTCGCTGCACACATGGGATAACATTTGTTTGATTTCCTGATGTGGTTCCTGAAGCCAGAGTGTGAAAATGTTGATATAGCCTCTTGAGATGATTATCACAGGAAAGTAGTCTTTTCTATTGTGTATGCATACAATTGCCCAGATTTACTTAAATTTTTAACTTATCATTATTATTTTAGTATCATAGGCCCTTTAGAACAGGGTTTTAGTGGTGGTATTCTTTGTTGTTGTTTTTAACAAGATGCATGGTGTTGTGGTCAATAATTTCTCTGCAAGTGTTTCAGCAAAGCTGTTACCGAGTTGTGAGTTTGCCAAGTGAGTTGAATACTGCTTCTCTTCCCTAACTGGATGCAAGTTCAGAAGCGCTGCCTGTTCTTAGCTTTTACCATTTGCTATTTCTCCTGCTGGGTTTGCTGCAGTTTGTAGAGTGAGATTAATTTTTCTGTTAGCAAAGCAGTGCCTGATAGTCCAGTCACAGGTTGAGAAGCCATTCCATGAGGCTGAATTCTGTATCTACTTAAATGAGAAACCACTCAAAAATAATATTGGAATAATATCACAGAGCATCCAAACAAGCAAAAGAAATCAAAAACAAATTAAGAAAACAGACTGCCTTCTGTGCCTTCAGGTGGAGCAAATCTGGGTTCCAGTAAACATTTTCCCCGAGTTTGTCATTTCATAGCTGAGTGACTCCTGACAGAACCACCTGTTTGCCAGCTTTTTACCAGCCCCAAGCTACTTCTTCCTGCTTTGAGCCTCCCTAAAATTTTCCTGCTTTGAGCACCCCCAAGTCAAAGCCCCTGAAACTACTGTGGTTGCCTGCCTGGCTACAGTTGGTGTATCTCTTTTTCTCTCCTGTGCTGATGTTAGCACCATCTCTTTCCATCTTGTTGGCTGTTCTGGTCAACTGAGTCCACCTATTTGTTCACCTTCCAGCGCAGAAAGCAATTCTGCATCTTCTGGGGCATTGCTCTGGTAAAAGTTTAACAATTAGCTCTGGTAGCAATTTAAGAAAACCTGGACGCCAGCTGGGACTTCCAAGGAAGAAAAATAAGATGTGTCTGAGAGAAAACAGGTGCACCACAGCTCTGGGTTTGGTGAGCTCTAACAATACATCTGATGAAGCAGCAAAAATATTTTGGGTAACCTTAAGAAAAGCTGTCTCCTGCACTACATTATCATTAGTAATGGCACATTCCTGGTTTCAGTAAGTATATCAAGGATGTTTATTTTAAGGAGAAAGGGCACAGTTTATTTTGCACAGAACATGTTTGGGAATGTTTGTCATGATGTGTCAGTGACAATCCAAAAGACCTGGTGTTGCCCTTTTTGCATATCACTGACTCCCTTGGCTCCCATTAGTTTGCATTCTTGGTATTGAAAATGTCTCCCCCAGTGAAATGTTGATAATATTTTTAACAAAAAGAGCCTTCATATAATTGATATCTGCAAGAAACTGAGCTCCAAAAGCATGTTTTAACCTGTGTATTTTGTAAACACAGCATGAAAAATTCACAGAGAATTTCTGTTACATCCTGAGGCAACTGTGAGTCTTTTCCAAAGTAAAGGCTAGGGAGCTATACGGTGTATAAGGAAGAGAAAGTGAACAAAGAGAAGCCGGATGGGAATGTACAAGTAGAGCTTGCAATTAGTATGTCTTGTGCACCCAGCAAAAGATGTTTATTCTGCTGTGGCTACAAGACTACCTCATGGAAGCACAGTATATACTGTCAAAAGGTTTTATGCTGGTTTATCCTGAACAGCAGAAGTTACGCTGACATGGACTCTGTTGCTAGCACAGATAATATCAGTCTGTGGAGTCCCACCAATGTAACAGTGTCAGCTACAGGATGTGCATTTTCCATGCCCTGAGCTGACCTTGGGTGTGCAAAACTTTGGCAAAGCTTTACAGTGTAGACATGGCCTAAGGCGGGTAGAATTTACCAAACGTAGTGTTTAATGAGACAGCCAAATGAGTGTAATACACAGCAGGTTCAGTAAAGCCCCTAAGGGCTGGGGTCCTAGGAATGTTCTGTGATGTAGCAAAATAAGCTGGTGATCCTTTTCATCTACCTCCCTGGTTAGACTGAGCCTGTCTTCTCAGGGGATGCAATAGGGAGAGGCTCATGGCACAAGGAAGCTGACAGAGCTGCTTTTTTCTCGAGGCATTTAATGGTGCCTCTCTGCAATGATCAGGCACAGTCCTGTTCTGGTACATGGAAAACAGCAGTGTCTTCAGTCCAATATGGCCAAGAGGAAGGGCACAAAACTCTGCTGTACCTGAAGTGGTTTGCAACTTGAACGCTGTTGTGGTTTGGTTGTTTTTAATAATTGGGTTTTGGTTCTTTTTCTTTTGAAAAGAAGTGTCCAAGCTCAACAAGAGCCCAGGAACTTCTGTCTCCCTTAGCAGTAGGATTCTCTCTGGGACAGTGAAGAAAATTGGTGGGGCTGGTAACTGTCCGCGCCTGCTTTTTCACTATTGAGGCATGCTTTCTATGTGATTAGTCTTGCTGCACGTTGCTTAGAAGCATACATGTGGCATACAGAGCAGTGTAGACCCAGTGCAGAGCCAGGCAAAGGGCATGTGGTATCATGGAAGAGAGCTGTTTGGGCAAGGCGGGGTGGTGTGGGCAGAGAGAGGGAACACTAGTGCAGAGGACTATGTCCAGGCGAGTACTACAGACAGATGGCTCAGTTGTGAATTTACTCCCTTGTTACGAGCTCCTGGTATAGGATATTTTATGTAGGATCCCAAAATTTGGGCAGTGTAATTTGGTGCCACTGGGGAACAATCCAGTATGTAATCTTTTTTGTTACAAACATGGCTATTCTGAAAAGTGTATTTACTGGTTTGAACAGGTTTAATGTCAAGTACCTGAGGTACAGTAGTTGCATATTATTGTATTCCCCTATATGCTCTGATACCATCATTACAAATTCTGTACCTCTCTGGGTCAGTTAACTTGCAACTCTGCACAAATGAGTGCACCATGTCATACAAACACAGAGGTCAAACATGCCTGTTGCCTTGTAACTCTCAACATTTCTACAACTGGAAATCTGAGAAAAAACTACCAAGTGCATTTCTAAAGGTTTCTGATGGACAAGAGAAGTTTTTGTGGGAGGGTCTTTTTTGTCTTCTTTTTGTTTTAAAAGGCAAATCCTTTTATGTTGTCTGATAGAAAAGTTGCTCATTGATCTTGTGGTTTGTGGTTGAGGACGAGAACCCATTGATCTGTACACTGGAGGGAAGGCACTGATCACTGGGTAAGGCTTTCCTCTGTTTAGCACCTGCTAGTAGATGCAGCACCTTTTCAGTGTTTCAGAAAATGACACTTGATTGACTTTTCTTTCATTTCTAGATAAAATTCTTTTCTCCTTTCGCACAGCTTTTTCTTTTTTAGATTGATTTAATCATAGGTTAGAACCATTAGAAACAGATGGTTCAAGAGACCTCCTGGATGTGCATCAGACCACACCCAGCAGGTTTGTCTCTGTCTTTTGCTGGCAAAAGTTTAAACTGCAAGGAGAACCTAATAGGAATGCTAAGAGTTGCAGTTCTAAACACTGAGCTCTCCAAGCAAAATCTCTTTGAACGTGAGAGAAATTAGTTTTATTTCATCAAGGAGATAAGAAAATAAACATGATCATTCCTTGGCTCTGAAATGCTTTTTATTCAACAAAGTAATCTCTGCTTAGAAAGACATTTAGAACTTGCCTTCTTGACAGTAGCTTGCTCTCTGACACTCATCTTTAGATTGTAAGAAATAATAGACTAATGCTGTTTGTTTTGTAGAATTTGGAAATGTGTTGAGAGATGACACTGTGAGACAACCAGAAGCCAGAAGGAAGCCCTGGAGGATGGTAGCACAGCCCTACAATAGGCTGAGGTATACACTAAGGCAGGGGGGGAGGACGATTGAAGTCTGAAGTGTTGCTTGTTTGGCTCCCCCTTCTCCCATTTCTGTTCTGTGAGCACAACCTAAACCAGATCCCCTGCTGATACAGAGGTCACACAGTTTATTTCTGTCGCACTCGCGTGGTCTTGCCAATAACAGGGGAGCATGAATCAGAAGCTTATTTTAAAACCAAAAATACGTGGTGTCAGTTTGTATTACGATAGCATCCAGTTAGGATCAAGGCTTCATTTATTACATGCTGAATCTGTTATAAGTTGAACATGTTGTGTTGTTGAACCTCTGAGAAATTTCAACCCAAGATGCAACAAGCTGTAGGAGGAGAAGGGAGGGTAAAGGAGCTGAAATGTTGGGTGGTCTTCATAATGGTAGAAAGGAGACAAAAGGCTATATGCTAAAAACTGTCACTTATAACTCTTTAGGCAAGTAACTGAAAGATAAGACTTGGAACAGAGGAAAAGACCTTCTTTGTTTAACTAAACACTAAAGACATCTGAAAGATCTCGATGTGGGGCTTGGGTGGGAGGAGGCAGGACAGGCAGGTGAGCAGATTAATGGCATTGTTGCAGCTTGCCCATATAGTATTTGGGCTCTGTATTTCCTCAACTGTATTTATTTGGTGGAATATTGTTGATACAAGCTTGGCCTGGAAAAATAAAATCAACTTATTTGAAAAGGTCGGCTTCATAAGAATTGCATTATTTTGTGCCCCCACTGTTTTTCAGGGCTGGTGACCTATATGTGAAATCGTGCCTGACAGCAGTTGTGACTGCAAATCAAACTGGAGAAGAAATGAAGAAATGCCTCATGCTGAGGATGTAACATGGGGGAGAGAATGAAACTAGTTTGTCGCGTAATGCAAAAATGTCTCTCTCTCTTTGTCACATCTTCCACTTATTAAAGGCAATATTGTTCTCTCCAGGCACTCAAATGAAAACTCAGAAATGAAAAGTCAGAAAGGCATTAAGTGATCTGTGCATGGATGCTACTGCCATCTCCGGAAGAAAATATGTATGCTTAATCAGAATCATAACTTTATAAAACTCTGGCTAATGATATTCTCCTTCAGCCTGAGCACTTCTACTGGAACAGTAGAAGGATATTCAGAATCTTCCTGTCTCCTGGAAAGTCCATGGATTTGGAGGCAGTATCATGGAAACCTTGATTAGGTATGTAGCATTCAGTAACTTAACAGATGACGTTCCAGGAAACCTTTACAGCTTTTGTAATAAAAATAGCATTGTATATGACTTTGTTTATGGTGGGGCCCCAGAGTGAATTGTTTGGGTTTTGTCTGTAAAATTTCTAGCCAGTTGGTCTTGCAAAGAACAAGTGTAAGTTGGAGCCTTACAGCATTTACACTCTGCAAGAAGGAACTAATGTTTTAAGAGAAATCATATTTTGGGCCCAGCAAGTTTGATATTGACTAGTGCTGCCAGAGTTTTTAATATTATTGAATTCAGCAATCTTTTCCATCAAATTCCAGAATCATCTGGAACATTCCCTCTTATGTGAAATAAATGCTTGTAAGCTGCCAGGTGATTAACAATGTTTGCTGAGATGTGAGGGTGTCTCAGGAGACTCTGCTTTGTTTTGCTACTGTAATTTCCAGTAAAAATTTGGTCAAGACTTGAAACTGTCTCAAATGATGTATTTTGCAGCTTTAAGTTAAAATTCAGACCTGCCCAAAGGTTCTTGATTGTTAGTTTTTCTGGCTGAAACCACCTAATTTTTCCACTGTGCTTTGTACATCTAGTTATGGATGTCCATTTTATCTCTCTGGCTTCAGAAAAGACAAACACTGTATCACTTCCTCAGTGTGAGGGGAAAAAAAGCCTACTAAAATATTAGTAAGAATTTTCAAAGGATTACAAATTAATCAGATATTGTACAAATAAACAGTGGAAGTGTAGGCCCTAGTGAGATTTGCAGCCTAAAAGAGACAAGTCATTGCTTATGTTTAAAGGAAAGGGTAGAGGTGGAGAAATTAATGGTTTTGAGGAGGAATCTAAATTAAGATGGCATTTGGGAGACAGAATGAAAGACTAATCAGGCATAAAGAGCAGCAAAAATTCAGTCACAAAATAAAGCAGGGAAGAAACAAATTTAAGGTGGGAGAAATGGGAAGACCATAAGAAATAAAAATGGAAATGAAACTAAGGATACCTGAACCCTGTAAGTGATATCAGAAAGACTGATAGCTAATAGTGTGAATTCGTTAGCAATTTATTGCAGATGCAGGGTATCGTTGTGAAGTGACTACGTGTTCTTTTCAAGTTGTGAGCCACATGTAGCACTAGTGCAGCACCTGCTAATTTTGTTAATGCGAGGGGATGCCTAAATAGTGTTGAGTCTTCAGCATTTTAAGCTATGCAACCCTCACTGTTCTGGTTCATATGGTTCTGCAGAAATTGTAGTGGCCTCATGGGCTCAATCAATAATTGTGCCTGCAGTGTTTTAGCTGTCAGCATATGGGGTCCTCTGAGTACCTGAGATATTTTGCAGTGGAACTATTTTGATTTCAATGTTGTTTATACCATACTCTCAAAATCACTTGGAAAAGTTTCTGAGTATATTCATGTTCTGCTTTTGTGGAATAAATAAATGTGCATGGGAAGTGGTGGAAAACTGCAGTTGTAAACATGACACGTTTCACTGACCCAGAACCACGATCACCAACCAACACTGATAAATATATAAGTGTGTGTGTGTGTGCATGGGCATGCATATATATTTAGACATTTATAGTGCAACTCTAATGGAAACAGCTTAAATGTCATAATTAATGACTAGCATACTATACAGTCTTCTTTCAGGTAAAAAACCCTACATTTTATGTGTCTCTGTTGTGTATGTATACTTATGTATAGCACATTACATAGAATGGATTTATTTTCATGGTGGTAAGCCATTCCTTTTAAGTTCTTAAATATTCTAAACTGTAAAGAGTAATTAATAATAAGTGGAAGTTTTGTTTTCATGATAGGAAGCTTTTACGATTTTTTTTTTCTGTTCCAAGATATGTTTGATTTGTTTTGTATGCTAGAAAAACCAGACAAATGGTCTTATGAAATGTGAGCAGAGATGGCTCTGTTGATTTCTGTAAGAAAAAGAATATGAACAAACAAAAAACTCTGCCCTGGTAACTGAATGGAAAAGTTATTAGAAGAATAATTTTAGCTATGATTTTTGAAAATGTGAAAAACTAGGCCAGTATCTGGATTTTCAAAATCAAGTTAGTAAAAGTATTTAAATCATTTAGTCACTTCTACCTTTTCACAGCTGAAACACAGTTAAACAGATTTAAACATTATTTATAGAAAATAAATGCATTTGGAATGAAAGCATCATTAACATTGCTGCTTTCTAAGCTATGTAAATGCAGTTTATGAAGAAATGATGACTGATACCAGTAATTTCAAGAATGATTTCTTCTGTGTAGTGTCCTTCAGCTGGAGACAGTAATAGTAATGTTTTTCATTCTTTTTCTAGTTGTAGCATCATTTTGTGTTTTCACTGTGCAGAGTATGAATTGCCTTGCCCTAACTGAAATGCACATATGTGATGCAGCATTGGCACAGTAAACATCCATCTGTATATAAATTGTACACCAAATAAGAGTGCTTCTTCAGATTATTAAAATATAATCTCATTCTGACACTGCACAGAGATTATTTGTGTCATAGTATTAGCAAATTGTGAAGAAAGGTGCAAAGGCAGCACGAAGGCTGACAGGTCTCATTCTTTCTACACTAGTTAGAGTGGAGATTCCCCATATGAAGCAGATCACATATGCAGAAAACTTTCCTGTATATGAATGAAACTTTTTATTATTTCTTGTTTAGACTTAGGTATTCAAGAGATTAGTTACTATGAGGAGACCTTAAGAAAATGACAAACTAAATTTGCTTGAAGAACAGTGACAACATGAATTAGGAAGGAACAAATTCTAAAATTTTGTTGAAGTGCTACAATGCCAGATAACCTCCCAGAAGAGTCATGGACAGCAAACAAAGTGACATGAAAGTCAGATGAACTGAGGAAGCACCTCAAATAGATCCTCCATGAGAAGAGCCAATTTAGTTTTCCAAGTCAGCAAGCTACATAAAGCTGTCGGCAGCCTTCATTACACAACCTAGGCAAGTGATACTGTCGTCTCTTGGGCATGAGCCAGTATGGAGAGGTGCGATGTAGTAATCTTGCACTGGCAGGAGTAGGAAGAGATGCACCAATTGACCTAGTAGGTATTTTCCCTACTCATCAAAAAGAAATAGGCACAGACAAGCCACAGGGAGCACTATACAACTAAACAGCCATCTGTCTAGTTATAGTGTCTCACCTTCTATTTTAAGTGTCTCATGAAAGTGCTAAGGAAAAGCAATATAAAAGAGAAAGAATGTAAATATTATGGTTCAGGGCTATCAGCCCCAGTCCAAGTGCAAAAACCTGCCTTTCAGTGAAAGCTTTGAGGGGCTTCTAGTTCAAAGGATTTCAGAGATGTGGAGAGGCAGCTATGTACATTACTTTCTTCTTCTCTATCGGTTACCCCTTATTGATGGCAGATAAGTTAAACCAAGGAGGAGCTTCCCTCCTAAGCAGTTCTGAGAGGACAAGAACACTGGCATGGGAAAGAGCAGCCTCAAGGTGGTAAATACTTTTTCAAAAGACAGGATAATTTTTCTGTTGAGGCTGGAAGTGTCAATGTTGAAACAGCTTTTGCTTGTGTCTCAGACCACCTGATGCAGTCGGCTATTTCAGTGCATAATAAAATACTCAGGAAAAAACTTCACAGTTTTAAGGCTTTATTTTAGGATGGCTTTCTGCTCTTCATGAATGTAGTGATCTTATTGTGGTTTTATCTTTCAGGATTAAAGGACTACTGGCAGATATCTTGGGACTAAAATGTGGCTTAGACTTTGCTTTTTGTTTTGCTTTTTACAGAGTCTGATGTGAGTGGGAATATCTGTGAGCTGGAAAATCTATCCACAGACCACTGGAAACTGCATATTTTTATTTAAACTCGATCCTGCTGTGTTTAGTGTCAGAGCTAAGAAGTAAACCTGGTATGAACAGAAGTGGAGCAGAAAAATACAATTTGGCTTTCCCAAATCAGCGAACAGCAAAATCAAGTGAGATCCTGAATGTAAAAAGTGAATGCTTAAAATGTTTGGGGCTTAATCACAGTTTTTATTATTAAGGACTTTTAAAACTGCACTGTTTGCTACTATAGTATTATATGTATCTACAGACTCAAAGCACCCTGCATATATTCTGGTCAGTTATTAATTTGCTAAAGCAGCATAAGTTCAAAGATATTGTTACTTTTCTGATTTATTTCTCTCATCTGGGTTTGCATAAGCTCTCTGTGTTGACAAAATGCTTTCTAATTTGTGATTAGTGTGTGGTAGCAAGGGGAAGGAAGACTTGGCATGGGTAGCTCTTAATATGTAGGTATGTGTTTCTTTTTTATCTCTCAGCCAGGGCTTTGTCAGAGTGGAGGAGCTGAGATTGGTTAATACTCAGACAGGCTGTTGATGTTCCAGTCTGGTTTTCTAATTTAGAAGCGCTACTGGATGACAAATGGTAGGAATAATTGTAGATTCTATGTGAAAAAAATAAAACAGGAGTCCTTGAGGCTGTAAGAAAAGGTCTAAAGTAGTCCTTTAAAAGCTAGAACAGCTTCAGAAATTATTATAGTCCCAGTTTGAGTGTTTTGCTTATATTTCAAGTGAATATTTTTCTCACTGATCCACTGTTTAAACTCATGATATTCATTTGCCATCTAGTTTGAATCAAGGAAATGAAAAAGACTCAATGGTAATCAGTGAGCTACCCTTGAAAAAAATACAGTACTGACAGACTGAACAAAGCCAGCAAGAACAGATGAATTCTTTGTTTGCAGTTTCAGAATTTTTGCTGTTGTTGAGAGGTTCTGAGATTGTAAAAATCCTAAGTAGAGTCTGTACTGCTTTCTGAGTCCTTTAGATACTGTCATTCCTTCCTCCAGCGATTCCTTCTTTCAGTTTCTGCTACCTTCTTTCCCTAAAAACAATGCACAAAAAATAGTACATAAAAATTACAAATTTCACAGGCTGACCAGGTCTTATCCTGTGATCATGTTGTGTCATCTGCTGGCTGTCTTCATCTGCCTGTGCTCTTATTCTTCATTCTGCTGCAGAGTACCCCCATGCACAGTTAGCACCAGAAGCTTTAGACTGAGAAGGATTGTCCAGTTCCTCAAACAGAACAACGTTGCCCTTTTGTTCTCCATGATGCATCAGATGAATAATTGTCTGGGTTTAGGTGGGACTGCTCTGTCTGTTCACTTTAGCGTCCTTCCATCCTGATCAACAGTTAAAAGGATAGATACTTCCTCCGCAGCAAAAGAATGTTTAGTCTTTTCAGAGCTCTTCTCATCTCTGGAAAGCCTTCATAGGGAAAAAGTTGAGGATGAGGGCAGATAATGGCAATACGGCTTTGGGGAAAATATTGGTCCTATCATATTCTTTTTTTTTTTTTTTTCCTCTCTCTGCTCTCCTCTTTTTTTTTTTTTTACTTCTCATTTTTTTTCCCTGTGCAGTTTGGATTGTGAGGAACATGGAAGTCTGTAGCCAGAGTGCCCTACTACTTCACCACAGACTTTTAAAAGATTGTTCTCTTCCCTTATCCCTAAAAGTAAAGATGATCTAGTTGACCTTGCTTCTCAGCTAACCTGGCCACCTCAGTATTTGAAAAGTACTAAGTTCATTTGAAAAACATTAAGTCCTGCAGTAGATTATATTGGAAGAGGGGCTAACTGGGCTGGAGATAAGGGGGTACTCTGAGCAATTTTAATTGATGTAAGGAGAAGATAAATAGGGAAGGAAAAACTCCTCTGCCTACTAAAATGCCATGTACCTACAACCAGTCCTGTGTAAACTATCAGAGCTCCCAAATACTGGCTTTTATACTGTACTTTAAGTGAGACCAAAGGATGGAAAACTGGTCGTCTGAGTTATTTTGAGGTTTTTATTATGTTCAGGGATTAATTTGGATGACAACAATGGTGTTTTTAGTGCAACAAGTAGTGTTAAATAAGCAGTCTGGCAGAAGAACTGAGAAGCAGAAGGTGAAAATAAATAAAATGGGGCAGCAAAGAATGCAGAAAGAAACAGAAAGTGTTCAAAGGCATGTAAACGCAATGAAGGCTGAAGCCAAATTCATATGCAAACATCTAAGGTACAAATCGTCTTCCCTCCTTTTTTCCTTCCCCTGACAATGTGCGTGTACAGCCCCTGCCCCCTTGTGCATTTAGTCTTATGACAGAATTTAAGCGATGGAACAGAGGAAAAAGGAGGCAGATGTGACTGTGTGGGAAGTTGCTTTGCCACTCAGTTGTGTATGGGAACCACATCTTTTTATGTAGTTTGTTGGAGGGGGATTTATTCTTTCAGCATTTTGAGAAAGACTTATGTTTCCACCTGGATTTATACACAATAGCTTTCCTGTCTGTACTCTTTATCTTTCTTTGAGAGTTCTTTGACTAAGTTATTTTCCTCCTGGGATGTATAAAGTATGCTCTCACCTACACTGGGATAAGAGACTATTGAATGCAAAGGCCTCTGCTGAAGGCCTTCTGCAAGTATTGTCCCTTCCCATCAAATTTCACCTGGAGCTCATATGTAGGGCCTTACTCAGGCTGAGTCATGTGGTAGGGCATTATAAACTCAAAATGCTATAGCTGTGTGCTATTATACTCATTGTAAGCAGTTCACACCAAGGCTTTAAACTAGCAAGCCATTTAAGCTTTTTAATTGTAATGATTTTTAAGTCATCTCACTGAAGTCAGTGGTACAGTGCCTGAGCTTAAAGCTGAAATCATGCTGAAGTGCTTTGCTGGCTTAAAGCCCAAGCTGGCTTTCAATGTATTATAGGCAGCCTTTCCTGGGATGATGGTGAATTAGAATTGTGCTAAAGCATTTCCAGCAAGATGAAAAATCACCTCACATCTAAAGGTTTTATTGCTTTTTCCACTTTCTATGAATTAAAAAATGAGGCCATTTCTATGAAAAATGGTACCTGTGAATATGAAATTTCCAGAAGTGGGGATCCCTTTTTTAACAGAAGTTGAATGCACAGTTAACAATCCTTTTGAAAAAAACAATGCTGTCTCTGGAAATGATTGTCCTGTGTGAAGCTTTGGACCTGCAAAATTGACTAAATGCTGTGAACTAAGTCTGGTTCTGAATTAAATTTACCTTAGTGCCCCAAACCTGTACTGAGGTCTGCCCAGAGAAGGTGTGATAGGGCTTCAGAGATGCCTGTGGGTCTGCATGCCTGTGTTCATTTGCTGCTGGGGGCCTGTGTACATTGAGGTGACGTGTATGTATTGTTCTCAGTGCCTGCTAATGGTTGTCTTCACAGTTTCTCAGAAACAGAACTGCTTAGTTAGTCCATCCAAAATCCTACTCCTGAAGAAGAGATTGGTTGGTCTCTATAGAACAGAAACTGAGTCATGGCCAACGATTAAGCAGTATCTGATAGTTTCTATTCTTTGCGCATTTCTCCGGACACATTTGTCCTGCTATGGGCAGGGTACTCCTGAAGAGCCATATTCTTCTGTAGTTTGTAGTTGCATAATGAGTAATTTGAAACCATGTAATTTATTTAATGCCATTTCACTACTTAAGTTTGCAGAATCTCTGTGAGAAATATTCCAGGTCCCTTGACCTTATTTTTTTCAGATTTGTTTTGAATAGCATGTCTGGAACATGTGTTTCATGTGTTATATTTCCTCTGTGGATTCATCTTTGACATTCAACGTGTGAACTTTTCTTATAATTAGTTCTGATCAGTAGAGCTAGTTCAAGTACCACTGTAGATAGTTAAACTCTGTTTTTTTGTTGGCAGTCACAAAACACTTACAGGATTCAGTCCTGTAGTTGGGTGGGAAGGGGTGGAATTCTGCCCCTAACTGACTTCCTACTGAAATCAGAGGGTACTTACACACGTGTTTGTATGTCCATATCAGGTCTGCAAAGCCAGTGGTCAAGTATTTAGCAGATGCATTCCATACACAAATTTCCACAGATCCTTGGGTTTATGTATTAGTTAGATAAATCTACCTCTCAGCTGTATGAGGCTTTATTCCATGATTTCATGAGCACTTGATTTACAAACATCTATAAATTTAAAGTAGACCTACTTTCAATACCTTTGCCAGTTGGATTTGTCTGTTTCAAGTGGCACCTGAAGAGGAAAACAAAAGGAGCATTACAGTGGTTAGAGCAGACTCACTGAAAATCTTTCCTTTTTTCCCTTTATTTGCTTGAGGTTTTGGGTAGGTTTTAGAGGGGGAGGTGTGCTAATTAATCATGGAAAAAAATCCAAAGCAGCAAGAGCAAAAATCCCAGACTACTCTGGAAATGGTATGAAGTTTTTTCTTTACCTTTGATTGTATATCTTGCCTGCACTTTGTTGCCAACAGTTGCAGAAGTCTTGCTTGTTTCAGGAAGGGGGATGAGGGCACTGGAGAAATGTCGACTATTTTATTTATGATTATCTTAGTAGCATTAAGTAACACACTGTACTGTCCATGCTAGTATCCGATGACTTTTGTGGCTTTGAATCCAAGGGCAGAAACAGCAGCAAGGGCAGAGAACATGAGCTGCATTTTGGAAATGCCTTTTGTCAGGCAACCTGTTACGGGTGGGTTGGGAGTCTCTCCTGCTGCTGCCCGGTCCGGGCACACCCTGTGTGTACATTCTGCACATTCCACAAGTGACTTTGCTTATATAACCCTCACTGTGCTACCTTCCCCTCCCCACATAGGTGAACTGCTGGCTGCCCTCACTTAAACAGCACCACCATCCTCACTCACCATCCAGGCTTACTATATATACAAGTCAGTCTTCATTTCTGATTCCATTTCTCTTGTTTCTAATAGCAAAACACTAAGTGCCGCAGTCTTGGGGTATTTATTATCAGGGCAGAGCTAAGGCAGTTAGTTGTCTAGCACTTGCAGAAGCCAAAGTGACTTTGTATGTTACTGTACTTTCCTGAATTGAAATCTTAAAAACTGGTCACCCAGAAGAAATGCATAGCATTCCCATTCAGCAATATGGGTGATGGAAGGTTGCAGGCTGGAGCCCAGTATATGATGCTGCTGCTGGTGGTGCTGCTGTTTTC